TTTCGCTTGAAAGTTGTCCCGGTGAAGGAAAGAAATGGGTTATTCGAAATGCTGATCACGAAATAGTAGCGCCTCGCTGCAAAAATATGGCAGGAACGCGGTATAAATTAAAATCAATATAAAATAAGGCGTTGATATGCGAAATGGATATGAACTTCGTGATCAACATATCAAAAAACATTTCTGGGCGAAGTTCAAGCAAGATCAAAAATGTCAAGCTTTTTTGGATCAAAGTGAGTGGAATCAACCAAAATCGAGTAGAATCTTCTCAAGCAATTGTTCATGGCAAAAAACTTAAAAGAAAACACCAGCCAAAGAACAGAAAAAAGCTCGAAGGAACGCACAGCTGATCACAGCTTTCCCAAGAAGTTTTGCGGTCAGTCACTAGTAAACTTTAGCAAAAACATGAAATCTCAAAATGATGAAAGCTATCAATATATACCTTTCCGCCTTGTGTGACCATGCCCAATTCCGACACATTTACTTCGATGATTGTACCTTTCGTGATCACACCCAACGACGTGTACATCTGACTTGAAGGATTCTTCTTTACACCCACTATTGGAAGACAAAATGTAGTCTGCAGTTCAGGGTGTGTGACGTGAGCCTGGAAAAAAGCATTGAAGAAACCCCGAATAAAATCAAATCTAGTACCTTTGTGAATCGCAGACCCATAGGCCGTATAAACCTTTCGAACTTAGCAGGTTTCCGGGTGAATGACTCTCCGACGAAAGTGACCTGGAAAGGAATGTTTCAAAGTCCTTTTGAACTTCATAAGTGCTGCATATGAAGCTACACATACCTTCGTAACCATTCGCTTCCAGCCTTTTCTGTTGGTTTTGCCTGACTTCACAACTTTGAAAGCTTCCGCATCACTAACAGCTTTCACTTGAGGGATAGGTACTTGGTATTTGCCCTAAATACCTTGACTAGGTAAGATTGCAATATAAAAGCCCGAAAATCGACAGATATTTGTCTACTTACAGCTTTTTGCTTCCTTTTTTGCTTGATCATGTTAGACAACACTGTTCCTGTAGTTT